TTAAGACAGGTGGCACGTGTCCTGGAAATCCTAGTTTCTCTAAACACAAGTTTCAATAAAAACATAAAGAAGTAAGAGTGAGAGGATTAACTAGGGGAAGAAAAAACGCGGAGGAAAGCATAGAAGCCCGTCTCTCCAAGGATCCCGGTCCCCATCCGGCGCTCTATCCAGTCCTGCTGAGCACGCCAAACAGAACTCGGCTAAGCTAAGAGGGCAGCCAGCCACCGGCAGTCGGTGTCTTTAGGGGAGGAAGGAGCGCTCCCGGCGGCAGGCAGAGAGGCGCACTGGCTGCCCCACTGCCCCTCTGAGCGCGCAGCACTTTTGTGGCCACCTGACGAGTCGCTTCCTCCGGCTCCCGGGCCTAGGGCTCAGAACTCAGGGTGCGAGGAGATCTGAAAGCGGGGCCAGGACGCGCGCCTTCTCTCCTCGGAGCTTGGGAGTTGAGAGCACACGTGCGGGGCACGCGTGTGGCACAGATGCGTGGGCCCCTCTCTCGGCTCTTCCCGAGGTGTGGATGCGCCCTGGCGCCTCTGCCCCACCCTTTTGTGCTCCCCCACAACTGGAAAAAAAATGGTTCCCCCCGCGTAATGTAGAAGAATGCCCCGGAGACACAAGTCTGACCACTGATGGGTGGGTGCCAGAGAAGTCGGGGGCGCGCTCGGCCGCACGTGCTCGCGCCCTGACGCACCGAACCTGGTCAAGCTGCGTCGGGAACCTGTTGCGGCCTCCGGCTCTGGGGGACCGGACAGGGAACAGCTGGGAAAAAAGCAGGGAGCAGCTGGGGAGGGCAGAGCAGGAAAAAGAGGAAACGGAGAGTTAACCCAGGCAAGTGTGTCCTAATTGTTCCCAGGCTCCCTCGGCAAAGTCTTTGACACAACATGCGGAGTCAAACTCTAAGTCTCCAAAACGCAGTGGGTAGAGGGAGAGCTTGCGTCTCCACGTTCACCCTCGGCGGAACCGCGAGCAGACACGTCCTCTTCAGTAATCCTGGGGCCTCGAAATCAGACCACGCTACACGGGGGCCTAGTGTGAAAGCGTGGGGAGAGGAGTAAGCGTCTGGAGCCTCGCTCTCCGGAGTCCTCTCGCCGCTGTCGGTTGGGCCGGGAGCGCACGTCGCGGCTGGGAACAGGGGTGCAGCTCTCCTCCTTACTTCCCCGGGGTGGGGTGGGGCCCTGCGCTCCAGCGCTCCAGCGCTCCAGCGCACCTGCTCACCCACCGCTCCAGGCGGCGCCCTCCGACCGAAGCGGGACTTGCCCTTAAGGAAACGCAAGATTAAGGTGGGAGAAAAGTCCTTGCGGGCCCCAGCGGTCGTTTCCAGTCGTGCTCAGGAAATAAACACTAAGGGAAAATGACTTTAAAGAACAGCCTCACCGTCCTAAATGGTTACGTGTGATATCCAAGTAGGGATTTCTAGTAAAATCTAAAAGTAAAAATGAAAATTGAATTTCTGTGTTTATTATTAAAATCGAATTACTAAAAAATGATGACCTTGTTTGGAATTCATATCTTTCTTTCCCAGGAAAGTCAGCCAATATCGACTGAACGCCCCCCACCCCAACATAGCTATACGAATCGTGATCACTCCGGTTCGCGTTCTGTCACATGCACGGATCTAAGCAAAACCTCTGCCAAAGACTGTTGCACCGGGCGCGCCCTTTTTAGTAGTTGCTGAGACCTCTGGGAAGGAATGGTTGGCTGGGAGTTGGCTGGGAACCCCCCTCAACCCCATCCCTCCTCTGTGGGACTCCAAAATTGAGTCAGGTCCTGGCTCACGGGGTGCACAGGAATTGAATTGCTGAGAAATTCCAGGGCGCGCCCTCGAAGCTACAGTTCCTGTTCCCGAATAGCGGTGACAGGTGGGGGGGGGGGGGGGCTTAGGAAGATATCTTAAAGATAGATACTCCGTCCTAGACCTCTGTTCAAAGAGCAAAATAATACTGAAGAAAGTTTTTAAATCCGCGGTACTAGACACCCTCTTTTCCCCCTCGCGCGCTGATAGGACCCGTCTCCATTTTTGAGGTGGCTGCGGGCACCCACGGCCTCCAGACCGGCGCCTGTCTCACCGAGAGAGTCGAGGCCGGCCGGGAAGACCCCCAGCCCTCACTCTCCGCTGCCACCTCCGGGCTGCCGCGCGGCGGATAAAAAAGAAAACGGACGTGTGTGCGGAGTTGGCGGGGAGCTTGCGGCGCGAAGACGGGCCACACGCGCGACGCCCAGAAGTACTCTGGTGTTGCTACCCTGTGTGGGGCCTGTCGGGATGGAAATGTATCCTGTCCTGGAAAACTCTGTGATCAAAATATTACCGTGAAATACAACTTTTTCCTCACAGACCTGTTCATATCTTGGAAGTCTTCACTGCCGACGCCTAGGCTTAAAATATAATTAGATCCTCGGATATTCGTGCAGACGCACTGACACCTACAAAGCCAAGAGAGTCTCAAGGCAAAGTGAAATTGAACCTTCAAGTGACGTTCTTAAGTTGGCAAGAATATGTGTTTCTCCTCGTCGGGCCCCTTGCACGCTGAGAATCAGTGTCCCTTAAGACTTGTGATTGATATTTTTAGGGGAGCGGGCACCCAAACTCTCTAGGGACGGAGTCATGCACCAAAAGGAAATATACATGATAAGGTCGTTGGGTGCGGCTGTCACTGCAGGATGCTATCACCGCCCTGGGTCGGGCGTCTCTCTTGTTAGAACCAGAAATGCAAACGTCCCTCTCTTCTCCCTTCCCTCTGTCTCTGTGTCTCTCCCCTCTCTCTTCTCTCTCTGTCTCTCTTCCCCTCCCCCCACCCCCCAGCGAAAGATCCGAGCAGGGGTCGCCTGAGCACCTAGGGAGACTGCGGAGGTCCTCTAGACGGCGGAGAAGCCTAACCCACCAAGTAGCAGGCAGTAGCTCTGCTCGCCGGTGCTTTGAATTAAGGGCATCTCTCCATAAAGTCAGGGCGTTCTAAGCAACCACTCAAAGTGAGTCTAGACTTAAAATTAGACCTTTCAGACCTGAGAAGTGTATGGTCATATCCTCAGAACAATGATTATGTATTTTCCATAGCTGGAAGGATACAGGATAACTTTAAGAGGAGGTGGGAAGATGAGAGTGATCTGAAGCCTTTACTATAAAGTTTCATCTCTTTCTAAGGAAGTCCCATACAACGTCTGGATTTTGCAATGCAGCGTGTCTGTTGCTTTTCGTGGGCTTTACTCATAGAAAGACTAGGGCAGAATAAGTCCTCAACTGCATGGACCTCGGAAGATGCAGGAGAGATGCTTGCGAGGTTCTTCCCTCCTACAATCCCGTGCGCAGCCGGCAGTTGGAAATTGACTCGATGACTGTGAAGCAGAAAAAGCACTGGCCACTTTGCAATTTAGAAATTACAACTGAATGTACGAGGAGCCAGTGCAATATGCCTGCGGACTTGGGAGAGTCCTCCCTCCCTCCTTTCACCCCAATTCTCCGGAGGCACACTGCCTAACACCTCATTGGCCTCGGGTGGTGCACAGCCGCTTCCTTAAGGGAGAACCCTCAAAAGAGTTCGTTTCTGGGTTCAACTCTCGGGGATTCTGACTCGGAATGTAATTGTCTCAGGGCTGGAGGCACCTGGGAGACAAGCCCTGACGGCTCTGCAGACTCCCGGCATTTCTAAAGAGCTTTCTCTTTCTCTCTGCTTATTAGTGTGAGGCTTTGGTTGGACAGAAGTTGTGAAAATAAAAGGAAATGGCAAGCCCCATCTTTTCAAAAAAGCCAGGAACTTGGATATTTCGCTTATTATTTAATCCCTTTTGTGACCACCCACTTTTGCCCCTCAAAGTTACCTGCAGAGAAACGTATCTGGTTAAAATAACCTTAAATTATCACCAAACCTGCCTTCTCTCTTTTTCTCCCACACACAAAACCTGTCTTTAAAAAAAGGAGGGGGGGAGGGAAGCAAAGTAAAAACAACCACCTACAAACTCTTATGGCAATTTACTGGCAATTTCTAACTTTGCGTTTTAAAAACAATAACACTCTCTAAATTTCAGTGCCCCGGAAGCCATCTGTAATTCACTAGGGTCAGCGAAGAAGATGGTCCCCATCTTGTGATAAGAATTCACCGTGAGCCTGAAGCAAATCAGGCAAGACCTCCACTGCCCAAGGACCAGGACGTTGAGCAGAAGGAAGCTCAGACCTTAAGAGGGCGTCTACAGCATTAGTGGCTTTCTTTGCTAGAAATTGGTGCTGGGTGGAAACCTGAAGGCTGTGGTATAGCTTATTTGTACCAGACTCAGCATCTGACAAATGGCTATTTTATAATTTATCTGAAAAACTTTAAAGAAGGAGATATTATGCTAAAAGTGCAAAGTGTACATCATCGCTACCCACTGAAGGAGGACAACAAAAAGTTGTAAGAAACACCTCTCCTGAGTTCTGCTGTATGTTAAGATCACTGACCCAAGGCCCAAAGGGCCCGAAAGGCTTGGCCCTTCTTGCAAGACCCTTTACAACAGTAGTAAGTAGAGGAATTGGAAAAATCAAAGATAATATACAACACACTTCAAAATCCATGTTAACTTCCTGAGTCTTAAAAAGATACTCCCTAAACATTCTGCAAGACAAAAACTTGAGAGGACTTCAGACCTTGCAGAACTTCAAAAGCTATCTGGTCTCCTAAACTTCTCTTCTGAAAGCTGCACTTACTAGCAAAATTAACGAAAGAGTTAAGATATCCTCAGTTGATTCTGATAAATGCAGGTTGCCACACTCAAAAATCCTGGTTGAGGAAAAATATTGTACTGAATTTTCTGGATAATTAGTTCAATTCCCCAGGTTCTTTTGCTAGAATAGATCTCGGTTGTCAGTTTGAAACTCAAATGTTGAATAAGTGACCTATCCTAAATCAATCTCCAATTCTATTATATATTGCTGTTTAGTCATCATTTCTTCCTGACCCGGAAAGAAGACAAAATTCTGTTCATTTACATAGTTTATTGTTGTAAACATTAAAATTGTCTTTCTCAAAGAAAGAATTTATCAGAAAAAAAAAATCAGCGTCTCTAACTGTCATACACCATAGAAAAAAAGGCAGTGACTCATATCATGTGCCATACTGGAAATATACAAAGAAAAATACTACAGAATATGGCAATATTAAAATTCTTACTCAAACATAAAATAATATATTAACTGACAATTTTAGACATTAAAAAAAAACAAAAAAAATTCAAAGTGCTCAGTAATTTCCAGGGAGTTATGTATATTATAAGCACTCTGGAAACAGTCAAAAGCTGCTGCATGCAAGTTTTGTTTAGCTTTAGACAACAAAATAATCAAGATATAAACTTTCTTTTATCAACATCAACGGTACATACAACACTTACAAACAAGGAATGTTGGACGGTGTTACAAACACTATGTGTCCCTTTTGTCAGGATTTTCTGATGTGTAATACTTGTGCCCACCTATTTTACAATTGAGAAAATGTTTAAGCTCAGATAACTACCAATCTTTATAAAATCTAACAGACTACATAGTGTCTGAAATACTATTTATATAATATAGACATTACTGAAATAGCAAGTGCCTATAACATTTTCAACCTAGAATCAACATGCTTGTCCCTTTTTTGTGTAGTTCTTTTTTTCTTTTTTTCTTTTTTTTGCAAACACACTTATCTTTTAGAATTTGTAATATGTATTCATAAATAGGCACAAAATAATTTAAAAAGCCAAACTGCATTGGGTAAATTTACAAGCCTTTCCCTTCTTCAACTCATGCCACCCACGCAACATTTAGTTTTACTATATATTACAGCTTTCTTTACAGCAGAAAACTTTGAAGTCTTTTAAAGGGCAATACTTGTGGGTCCCCTTACAATGTGTGAGTGACTCTGTGTGTGTGTGTGTGTGTGTGTGTGTGTGTGTGTGTGTGTGTATTACATTTGTCTTAACTGCAACAACCAAACATGGCCAAACATTTCCCATCATACATTAGGAATCTTTCTTCTGAACAATAAACTGATTTTTAAACTGATAATAAAAAGTTTATACCACTGTATTGTGTGTAGTCCGTGTTCTAAATCCAGGATGCCCCGGAGCCAAAATGCCCTTTCAGGTTCTGCCTGCAGGTTAGGAAATAGCAACAGTTTTTGTTGTTTTGTTTTGTTTTTGTTTTTTTCTTTAGGGATCAAGGGACTGGGATTTTATGGAGGGGGTGGGGGCCGGCTAGAGCTGAGGCAGCTCATGGGGATATCTCTGCCTTGTGACTTGCCCCCTCTGGATAGTTTTAGGTTTCTTTCCAGTTCCTTTGAAGTGCATGGGAGGAGGTCTTAGAAAGGTAAAGTGTCCAGGAAAAGTTTGTCAATTATTGCTGGCGGTGGTACCAAGTCTTCTAGTTTCAGGTAGAAAATGCGCTGTAGCCCCTGTGTGCAAAGAGTACGGAGTTCTGGGAGCTTCCCCAACAGTTTGGACAAATAGTTGGGGCGGTTCAACCCCCCATTATTGAAAGTCACATGGTCTTTGAGACAATTTACAATCTTGTTTTGCAGTTCTTCCACTCTCTTGGGTTCCTTGAGCCCGTGTCTCTCTGCAGAAAACACAATCAGAAACAAAAGAGGAACACACAAAGCAGTTAGCTAGTTGGCAGGAGCAGGGAGGATCAGTGGCAAGGGAAAACCGGGACAAATCCTGGTGGGCAGTTTTGGAGACGTGCCCTGCACTTGAGGTACTGACCTGTGACCATAGCCAGGGCAGCAATGCAGGAGAAGGCAGAAATGTCGATGTTCATATTCTGCAAGTTGGAGGAGAATTCAACAATGGAGTCAATCCATTCCCCAAAGCCACGAACGCATTGCAACCTGTGCAAGACCACCCCATTGCAAAAGATGAGTTTACCCTCCACTGGGTTGGACCTGCAATTAATACCAAAGAGAGAGAGGGGAGAAAAAGAGAGAGAGAAAAGCTAAACAACTAATTACTTGAAGAGCAATAAATGAGGGATTTAAGAGGTACCTAATTATGGAAGAGTTAATAAAATGTAGACCAGTAGACCTTGAAAGGGTTTAATTTCATAACAACCAAGAACGCCCCCTATCCCACTTCCATTCCACTCGTCCAAGGCTTCTGGTGTCACGCCTTCCCTTCTCTTCCTTTTGTCTACTATCTTTTCCTTCTTCTTCCCCTTTCATTTTCCTCTTCTGTCCTTTTCTCTTTCCCCCTTTGATTCCCCTTTTCCTCTTTCTTTCTCTTCTTGATTCCTCTCCTCCTCCTTTCCCAGCCTCCCTGGATTGCCTCCTCCATTACCTGTACGCTAATCGAAGCACAAACAGTTCTAAGAAAGCTGATTCAAAAAGCAGGTCTTGGTCGGCTTTGGGCAGGTCCGCGAAGCCCGGGATCTTCTCAGCCCAGCCTCTGATGATCTCCATGGAGCCAGTCAGGAGATCATAGAACTGCTGGATATGCTGAGTGTCATCTCCACCCATCTGATAGTCAGGGTTCGCCTGGAACTGGAATTTCATTTTAAAAAGCACTTAATGAGGTTCTCTAAAATATATAACCCGTGAAATTGCTAACCCCGCTTCTGGTAGGGGAGCCAGGTTTTTATAACAATTAAACCTCTCTCTGACCAGTAAGGAAATTAGATGTTCCGGGGCAATTAATTCAATTAGGGATGGTGCTATGAGGTCGCCGCTTTAAATATGTAAATTACCATTTCCATACGGACTAAATACAGTGCCATCCAGCCCTGGGAAACGTTCACTCTTATCTCCACAAAACAATTGACACGTTAGTATTCATGCCAGTCCCAGAGTGGGTCTCAAGCAGAGACACCCTCTGCAAATCTTAATAAAAATGCAGTGGCTTCTAGGTTTGCCCGACATACTTCCTCCAATTAAAGCCCGCACATTTCTCACAGCTGGGGTAAAAAAGGAATCTGACCACTTGATTCTCCACCCCGTTGCCATTCCTTAGACCTTTCTCCTTCCCTTCCCGGACCCCCAAGCAGGCATCCCCCACCCAGAGGGTGCCACAGAGGATGAGGATTAAAGCATCTCTATGGAAGATTGGGGATAAAATCCAAGGGGGGAGGGGCATTTTGCACAGCCTCTGGTTTGGGCATTAGAGGCATTTGTGTGTGAGTATATGTGTGCACGGTGGCAGTGAGATGGAGGGCTCCCAGAGATGTGATCACTGTGGCCTGTCCTCTCTTCTCTGTCTGTCCTCGTGTCTACACTCCCAGCAACATGGTTTGTCTGTCGCCTGTCTCCTGTGGCTCTGCTCAGGGCTGTAAAGCCACAGCCTTGCCTGAGTCTGGGGCTTAGTGATGGGTGTGGGAAGGGGTCCTGCCCATCTGTCGATTTGTCCACATGCTACCCCCGCCAGCTTCTTACCCTGGAATAGTCCAGGCTGGTCATAGCCGGGTTGGAGTCGACATGGGCCCTGACGAGGGCACTGATCAGACTCACCGGGGGCGAGGGGGGAGAGGGCTCCTGTGGGCTCTTCGGTTTCGAGGGCAAACGACCTCTCCGGCCTTTTAAACTGTCCGTGCGAACCACTGCAAAGGAATAAATGGGTTAACGTCGCTCCCCCTAGCGGGACCCAGCTGCCGCCTCGGCCCCTCCCAGGGGAAGGCCACAGCCACGGGGCGCCCAGCAGGGCTGCGCAGGGTCCCACTGCTTGTAAAGCCTTCACTGACCAGAAGCATTCAAAAAAAAAAAAAAAATGTGGGGTTGTTTTATGTCTTCTTCCAAATGGTTCGTATAGTTGAAGGCGAGAAGGGCCTGGCTGCTTTCTCCAGGGCAGGATGGGCAAGCAGGCAGCTGCGGGGTCAGCGAGGCCGGACGCGGATGAGGGGAAACCCGGAGACACCCCCCACAACCCCCCAGCGCTGGGAAGTGGAAAATGGGACTGGGATAGGAGCGGCAGTTTCCCCGCGGGCGCAGACGAGGGATTGGGCTGCTTGTCCCGACCTACCTTCTTTGACCATCCCAACAGCCAGGCACTTCTGAAATCGGCAGTACTGACAGCGATTCCGGCGCCGCTTGTCCACTGGGCAGTTTTTATTTGCTAAACACACGTATTTTGCGTTTTTTTGTACCGTGCGCTGCAAAAGGAGACAGTATAGACTGATTTTTTTTTTTCTTTTGAAAATCCAGGAACAATTTGTGGACGGCTGGGATCTACACTCCTCCCCACAAACAAACACATACACACAACTCCTTTTTTATTTTTTCCCTTTTCCTTTTCTTTCTCTTTCTTTTCGTTTTCCTCCCCCAGGGCATTTAACAGGAGAAAATTGATAGCGTTAACATTTGAGCTAACCTTGCCGCTCCTTGCTGTGTTTTATATGCCAAGAGAAGGAGAAGGAGACGCTCAGTAAATACAAATCCGTGGGCATTCATATTATTTACATTCCTTGGAGACCTTCTCTATTTAAAATGATAAGATTATTCAATCAGGATGGCGAAATAAAGAGATCACTTAATTTGACCACAGGGAATTCTGTTCCACTTGGTTAGCTCAGACACGGTTCTCTGTCCTAACCAATTTCAATCTGAACAGAGAAGACAGCTCCTAGCACATGCAAATGACCCTCTTCCAACTCAGGCTCCTGCAACTTCGGGCTGGGGCCTGCCGGGGTCAGCTGCGTGCGGGGGGGATGCGACCCCAGGTCTCCCGGTCTAGCTACTTCCCTTTCTCAAGCACCCAGAGGCCTCCGCCACAGGCCGTGGGTGCCTGCAGGGCAGCCTCCGCGGACCCCGGGAGTTGGACGAACTAGGACTGGGCTGCCTGCACCACCGCGGAGCGCGCACTCCGAGGCTCCCGGCACTACGGGGCCCCTATCTGTCTCCTCCGCCCCCGTCCTCGCTCACCTTAAAGAAACCTTTGCAGCCCTCACAGGTGCGCACGCCATAGTGCTGGCAGGCCGCGTTGTCGCCGCACACGGCGCACAGCCCCTCGTTGGAGGGGGAGCCCCGCGACGGCGGCGAGGGCACCTGCGTGTCCAGCAGCTGCGACGCGTGGCCGATCTGCAGGCCTGGGAAGCCCATGGACGCGGGCTTTCGGATGGGGTTGGGCACAGCGAAGGTCTGCCCGTCCACCACGTGGTGGCTGCCCGCCTGCTCCGGGTTCATGGGGACGTGCAGGGGCCCGTCGAAGCGCATCTGGCAGCTAGACACAGGGGTGCCGGGAGGCGATTGCTTAAATGAGAAGAGGGAGAGGCGGGAGACGGGCGTTTTCCTCTGCTCGATCATGTGCGTGGTGGCCACGTAGTTCTGATGGAAGTTGTGGAGAGAGCCTGGGTCGTCCCACATAGGGCTGTGCTGCACTTGGAAGCCCGGGGTGGTGGGCGTCGGGGGCGAGGAGGGCTTGTAGTAAACCGACCCGGAGTGCGGCATCATCTCCTCGGACTGGGGGGGCAGGTGGCTGTGTTGCTGGTAGTTGTGCATCTGAATGTCTTCTACCTTAATGGAGGACTGCTGTCCGGACAGGGGCATTTGGTACAAGCAAGGTGGCTTGACGTCGTAGCCTGTGCTGTAGTTGTCCATAAAGGTACTGAAGCTGGGGAGAGAAGTGGTGGCAGTGATTTCAGTGTTGGTGAGGTCCATGCTAAACTTGACAAACTCTGGAGTTAAGAAATCGGAGCTGTATTCTCCCGAAGAGTGGTAACTGTAGCTCTGAGAAGCGGGGCTGGCTCCTTGAGGCGAGGACCCATACTGCGCCTGAACACAAGGCATGGCTGGAAATGAAACAGGGTAATATACACTCAGCCTGGTCAACTGAACACTTTCTCCCGGGCTCGGGTACACCTGGAGCTACACCGGCAGCCCTCGGCGTCAGAGAGCATGTAGGGACGCGAGAGGAAGGGCGGAGAGGGCGAATGCTGCGGGGCAAAACAGTGCAGGGCATGGAAAGGCTGGTCCAAGGAACCCAGAGCTAGAAAGCTCTTGAGGGTCTCTATTCCCGTATATTTCAAACGCCTCCCCCTTCACCCCCTCACAAAAACAGTACCGCTCATATGAGCCTTTCCTCTGAAGCTCTAGTTCAGCAAGCTCATTCTAGAAATGAGGTTGAATGGCACAATGAGAATGTTGTTCCTGATGATGATGGGCCGGGAAAACATTACGTTACAGAGTTTGCTGAGGAAGACCGTATTGCCCTGTTTCTTGATATTCAGGGAACTCGGAGGAGGGAAAGAAAGAAATGAAGTTGCACTAACCTTCAGCCGAATTACAGGCGTTTTCGAGGAAATTAAAGGTGGACAGTGTCGTAATTCAACGAAGGACAAAGTTTCCAAGATTTTTAGAAAAGCAATGGGGAGTCCAGCCTGTCGGATCTCCTCCCTGAAATACAGACACAGGAAGCTTCAGGGTGACTTTCCCGACAGATTCAGAGGGCATCTGTAGGGTCACCAGGCAAGCCCTTCTATGCCCTCCTTGATTGTTTCATTGTGTTGCCTTTACCAAACTTAGCAGTTAAAATGAATGTGTGAAAGAGATGACTGTAAACAACACAAATGCCCCCCAATGCACTGTGTAAATCCTTGCAGAGAGAGGGTTCTGAAGGAGAAAAGGTACTTCATGTACTTATTTAATACTTATGATGTAATAAATTGGACGCTAAGATGTGGGGGTGGGGGTGGAGGTGGGAGTAGACGTGGGGATGGGAGGGTAGTGTCATTTCCATTTTAGTTTCATTCAGAACCAAATAAGAAGAAACTAGAGTTTAATAAAATACAGCATTGGATTTCTCCTAAATTTTTCTGTGGTGAAACTAGCTTTTCTTTTGGGAGGGGGTAAAGAAAGTAGAAGTCATAAATATAATATGAGAAAGTAATCTCTCCCTCGACCCCTATGCGTTACAGAATGCCCTCAAGGCCTGGGCAGCCCTTGAAGGCAATCTGAATGGAAGCATCTGGATTTCCTAAGTGTTTTTGACAGAACACTGGGATTGTTGAGGATACAGGTGAATTGCTATTCACTTCTCCAGGAAACTTGTCTTTAACATCTTTAATGGCCAAGGGGTGGGAAGAGGAGACCCTATTTTTCCAGGAGCATCTTAGGTCAATTGCAGAGGGAGGGAAACACTGCTTATCTGGTATTGGCACCAAGGTTAGAAGCGCTTCCCAACATAGGAAGCCGACCACCTTGCCTATACAGCCTTCCACAATCTGCCTACCTGCCGGTGGAACGAGGCAATCTTGTGTCCTAGGAATTTTCAGATGTTACCACTTGGAAGACATTCTAGAGCATAGACAATCTTATTACTAATGAAAAAGAAAACCAAACATCCACTCCTTCTGTTCTCCTCCCCCCTCCCCCACTACCTTGCTTCCTGGGGAGGAAGGTTAATCAGAAAAAGTAAAAAGAAAGGAGACCCATGACACCCACAGCCTTTGAGAGCTATATGCCTGTGCTGGATATTAACCTCCTGGTAACTTCGCAGCTTCATAACTGTACTCTTTCTTCTCTGTTTCTCTGCTGTCTGTCTGTCTGTCTGTCTCTCTCTCTCTCTGACGTATTCACATACACAAGCACGGCATGTGTCAAAACCAGAAATTTCAGGCAACTTAGTAATAGGACACTCTACGAACACCAACACCACCCCTTATTCAATAATACCCAGAAAACGCTGGCACATCAGCCAGCCGCGGTCACACAGTTCCCAAGCAACACATAAACTGGAGAACTTTCTCCCTGTCACTTTGTGGGTAGCGTCCAGGCCCCTCGTATATAAAAAGGACTTGGGAGTCTCCTTGTCCAATGGTCACAATCAATTCCACTCTAAGAGCAAACTTTGGGCACATATCCCCCAGGCAAGTCCACAGCTCCCCAAACTACGCACGTCTCCCATCCACGTCCACCAATAAGGAGCCTAGAATCCTGCCGGGAGCCAACTCTCCCCTAGTGCCAAAGCTGGAGTTCGGACAAATGACCGCCGTAGCCGAGCGCACCTATTCCCCATCCTCCGGCCCCACTCGCGCTCCGACCCTCTGGCGCCCACTTCGAGAAAACCTGTACCAGCCATGTGGAAAGAAGAGACGTGCAAAAGAAGAAAGAAGGATAAAGGAACTCGAGCTGCACGGGCTGTACCTACTCACTTAGGAGTTCTCCGCGTCTCTCTTCATTCATTCAACTCCGCCGAAGTGTAGTTCCCTCTGGGAGTCCTGGTAGCTGGGTCTGGGAGGGGTGGGCGAGAGGGGCGAAGGTAACCTAGTCGCCAGGAGCCGGGAGGGAGCAGGAGAAGGCGGCCGGCTGGGCAGGAGAGCAGGACCGCGGAGCCTAGCGCGAGCCGCGGGGCGGACTGGCCCTGGCCGCCAATGTGCCTTTGTTTATGTGGCTCGCGCTGCCGCTGCCAACATGCACCTAAAGTCTCCGCGCGTCAGCGCGCGTCAGCGGCCCGCCGCCCAATCGCCGCGCCGCCGCGCTCCCCGGACTCCTGGCCGGCTCTCGCTTTGGTATATTTCCGACCTGACGTCACGAGCAGGGCCGATTTTAAGGTGGGAACCGTTCTGGGTTCACCTTGGTCGCCAGCTTGGGTTTTTTTTTTCTTTCTTTCTTTCTTTCTTTTTTCTTTTTTTCCGAAAGAGGTGTGACCTCTCCACTCAGGTCCGCGCAGCCCGCAGCACCGCGACATCTCACCTCGCCTTCCCCTAAACCCCGGGCCACCGCTGCCGCCCGGCGGCTCACATGTGGGGGAGGGTGCAACAAAAGCCCCCGGCGGAAGGGAACGCTGGCTTGGGCCAGGTAGCCAGCACATGGACTGGTGAGGGATGGGGTGTGCCTGGGAGTGCCCTAACCTCATCCACTTACAATTGTCACCCCCCCCCCCCTTAGCGGAAGCGCGGACAGATGTCCCATGACCCGAGAAGCTCAAAGGGTTCAGGCAATTAAGGTGGGATTTCCCTAGCCCAATGTATATCCATTTTCTTTTTTCCTGTCCATGGTCTCCTCCTTTGGCGTTAGCATTCTCTCTCTCTCTCTCTCTCTCTGTTTCCCCGCCCCCCTCCCTCACACAGACACACACAGTCCAAGGTGGAAGGGACTGGGTAGGGCCTGTTCTCTGTGTTCCCTTCTTCCCTTGAAGTGCCCACGTGCAAGCGAGGACGTGGTGCGTGGAAAGGGGAAGAGAGGGGAACAGGTAGACAGTGACCCAGCCCTTTGGGGATCCCGAAAGGCAGAGTGAGGCGTCGCCCACTTTCCTTTCGCAGACAATACAGGCGAGCAGCGGGCAACAGGTGCGCCTTCAACAGAAAGGTGCTCTAACCTCACCTTTGTACCTCTTGGTACTTTCGACACTCCTCAGTGCCCACCAACTCGTACCCTAACACAAGTTGTAGAGAAATAAATCAACCCTCCTCTGAAGCACAAGGGCTCTCGAAGCCTCGTCTCCGAGTCAAGAGGGAAAGACAAAACATGGGGAGAGGGCGGGGTGGGGTATCTCCGCGAGCGTAAAGTTGTGCGCCCAGCCCTTCCAGGAGAGGGACCCGGTGCACTGTGGTAGCTCGCCGCACCCCCGCGGCCGCCCCAGTCACCGCCGACTCCACTTTGCAAGCCAGTCCACCCACCAGGCTGAAAGCGCGAGGCGCTTTCTAGCAAAAGAGACGCCGCTTCTCCCGAGAGCGAGCCCCCTTCGCTTTCCTCGGGCCGGAGCAGGGCAGGCCTCTCAGGGCTTCTCCTGGGGATGCTGGAAGAGGCTGGGACGAGGGAAGGGGGCTTCCGAAGCGCCCCCCTCTCTGGCCGCGAAGAGTTCCAGCCGCCCCACCTCCCTCGGCGTGGCTCGCTTCCAGGCTGCAGGAGCCCCTTGGCGACTCCCCCCCGCCCCCAATCCTGGTGTTCCCTGGATGGGCCAGAAGCGCCGGGGAACTATCCGCGTTCTGGAGCCGCTCAGCTCTAATCTGCACCCCAGCCTTTGCTCGCTCCCCAGCGGCTGGAGAGGCGTAGCCATCAGGTGTCCTGCGGCTGCCCGGGGAAGCCGGGGGCTCTTCTGCGCCGCAGCCTCTGGAAAACCTGCGTGACCACCTTAAGTTTCCCCCAGATGTTGCGACTGCCGCTGCTGCCGCCGCCGCCTCCGCGGTTCAGCGGTGCCCCAGCGGGCCGGAGTACAAATA